ACAGTAAACAGATGGAGGAACCCACCACGGCTGGAGTGGAAGCTGCCACTCAGCCTGACCCCAGGGAAGCGCCAGTGTCTGGGCTGGTGAACTGTGGAGGGAGTGCTCAGGGGAAGACGACCCTCAGCAAAGCTGGGCTGATGCCCACTCTCCTCCCAAGCATAGATGTTCCCCTAGCCTAGCCTTGAGTGTGAGAACTCAGCCATGAGCTCAGTGATAGACCAAAACCTGATGGCTGTCTGGGGAGAGAGCCAGGCATCCCACAGTGGAGGGCTGGAGCCCCCTGGTAATTCTGCCCTGGTTCTTCAGGAAGGGCGGGAAGGATGGCCGGCTGGCACTCTCGTGGCCTGTTGAACGTGAATAAATGCTGTTTCCTGCACCTAGAGCAGCAACAGAACAAAGGAAAGCTCCACCCAGGCCTGGCCTGCTCCACAGAGCTTTTACTGGGGCCACTTTTACAGCCTGGGTAACTCGGATGGATGTATTGCTAAAAGCCCACCCCAGCATAGGTGAAAGCTACATCTCTGGAGTCCCCATCCCAACTTTCTGGCAGCTTTACCCAAGAGTCCTCCATGATTGTTCACAGTTTCTGTAACTGCATGGGGGGTGTGGGGAGACATGGTTCTCAGGAGCCTCCCACCTCCCTCCTGGAGGGAATGTGACCATCTAGAGGAAACAGCTCCACAATGCATCAGGAAGTGTGGCCGCCTCCAGTCCACATGTCTCACACCTGACAGCAGCAACATGCAGGTGTGTCCAGGGAAAAGTGCTCACAGCACTGAAGAGGAAATGGCCAACCAATGGCACGTGTCTGCCCACCCCTGTGTGTGAGGATGAACGGACAAGCTGCAGCTCCCAGGTATTTGCAAGAAGCTGTGTTCTCAAAAAAGGTGCAAGGAAAAGGAGAGAAAACTCATGGTGAAAGAGAACTTTTAAAGATGACCCACTTGTTTTAATCACTGAGGGGACATTTGCAAAGGAAAAGGCAATCGGGAATGAGTTCTTTGAAATTAAAAATGCTGGATAGACATCAAAGGGAATAATGGTGGCAACGGAATAGAATCTATGGATAAAATAAAAGTTCATGAATTTGTGTAGTCTTTAAATAAACAGGGAGACTGACAGATGTGGAGGGGGGGGGGAGAGAGAGAGAGAGAGAGAGAGAGAGAGATTCTATACAACAGAAGAAGAATAGAAGAACAACTAATAGCTACAGAAGGAATGATGGAATTAGAAAATCTCTATTTTGCAGGCACCATGGTATTAATTCAAGCAAGGGCCATTAAAGGATGCAGAAGTGTGTAAAAAATTGATTCAAAGCATCACCAATGAATTACTTATGAACTACTGTGATTGTTAACACTGACTGTGACAGTTAATATAATCAACTTGATGTGATCTAAAATCACACAAGATTCATCTCTGGACATGACCAAGAGAGTCTCTGAACAGTTGGCTGAGCAGGGAAGACTTGCCCACTATGTGTGGCGCCATTCCGCAGGCTGGGGTCATACAAGAATAAACAGGTGGACACAAGCATTCACATCCTTCTGGGGGTACCGCCAGCTCTCTTCCCTCCAAAAGGCTCTAACAGGCCCAAACATGGCACTAGCAGTCTGTGTGCCCCCCTCCCTTCCCCCTTACATAAACCACCAAATTATGGTCCTAACACTAGCCACCAAGGTCCCTTCCCTTATTTGGCCCCTCTCATACCCCACACACACCCCGGGCGCAGAACAAAAAGGCAAAAATAAAAAAATAAAAAACCACAACACAAAAAAACCCCACATACAAAAACAAAACACAAAAACAGACCAGAGAAAACTAAAACACACACCCCACGTTTTTCCTCTTAAAATCACTCCTACAAAGCTATTTGCTGCTGTTTCTGTCCAATTCAGATCTAGCCACCTTGTCTTTGCCTTGCTTAATAAAGGTCTCTCTGTGCTGGAAACGGGTGTTTGGATGTGGTCTGCGGGTCTCTCCAGCCTCCTGCTCCTGCCCCGCCTCCTGCTCCTGCCCCCAGATCTTCCTTTCTTGGATGGGCTGTGCCCTGGACCTCTGGGCCAAAGTCCTCCTTTAAGTTGCTTTTGTCAGGGTATTTTATTATTGCAATGATACAAATAATGGATACATTCACCAAGGGGAACATTTTTTGAGGTTTACAGAGGAAAAAACCTGACAGGCAGCTTGTCTCAAGCCTAGGACAAAAGGCTGAGGTGCCTACTTAACATATCAAAGCAGACCTGGCCTCAAGGTTCTCCCAGCATTCCTCAGTCCCTACCTGTTACAGGGAGGGGCTGGCATATCCTGCCCTCCACCCTGAACTCTCCAGCCCAGTGGTGGGCTGCCCCCCCCCCCCCAGGCTCTTCCCTATATAATCCAGACTTACCAGGTTACCCTTCCTTTTTTGTATCTTTGGCCTCCTGGCTGCTGCACCTGGTTTTCCCCTCCCCTCTGCTTTCCCCTCTCCCCTCCCCTCTACTTCCCCCTCCCCCTCCCCCACACGGCCCAGCTCAGCCTGGTCATGTCCACTCTGGACCCCCAGATGTCTCTGCCTCTGGCTATGCTCGCCCACATATCTATAATAAGTTTTCTTCTCCATTATACCTAGGAGCAGTCATGGCCTTTCTTTTTCTTTTTTTTCAGCAAACATTACCAATAAAGGGTCAATGTCAAGGACTACGTGGTGGTGTTCTTCCTATGCAGTCCTGAGTCGACCCCAAAGGAGACAGCAGACACACCCACACTGGAGACACTTGCAGAGTGAATGGCGTGTCCTCAAAACTTCCATTGTGATGAAAGACAACAAAAGGTTGAGAAATGCATCAAGCTAAGGAAGTCAAGGGATCCACAGGAACAAGGACAGGGATGTTGCTAAGTGGCAAAATGCTTGCCTAAGTAACATGTGCACAGTCCTGGGTTCCATGCCCCGTGCCGAAATAATAGAAAGAGTGAAGAGGTGCCAGAGCTAAGTGCAAAAGTGAGCTGTACGAGATATTACTGGGGTCAGCGGCAAAATTTGGTCAAATCTGTAATATATAAATGTGAATGCTTCTGTTATTGGATGAATTTAAGAATTTGATATTGAAGTGTTATAGTAAAGGAAAGTACTCCATATTTGCAAATTAGAGATGTCCAGAGAAAGAAAAATAAAGCAAATGGGACAAAAAAGAAAAGAAAAAAAGGAAAGAAAAAGAAAATTGAAGGTAGTAACTGAGTTGGTAAATTTGGGCTGAGAATGTAAAGTAAATATTTATACTATTCTGGCCACTTTTGCAGGTTTAAAATATTTTTGATGTAAAACTATTGCAATAAAGTGAAAAAAAAGGAGACATGTAAAAACTGAGCAGAAATATTAGGACATAGTATTTGATATAAGGAGAACACATATCCACTGTTCCATATAAGTGCATATGTATACTGTGCTTTTACAAAATGAAGTGCTGGTGTGGTGGTGTACTCATGCCCAGCCTGGGGTACAGGGGAAGACCCTGTCCCCAAAGACCAAAGTGAAACTGAATAACAGCAGAGAGAGAGAGAGAGAGAGAGAGAGAGAGAGAGAGAGAGAGAGAAGGATTTTATGTAGAAATGCAATCGAAAAGTTGGATAATAACATGTTGAGGTTAAAGGATACTTACCAATGGCCCTCACATAGTTAAACTGATGAGCTTCCATCATCTTACAGAATATATAAGTAGTATATAACAGCGCTTCACTGTGAGATGAGCTTACATGCAGGACTTTACCCCAACTCACTGACCAGGCTGGGCAGTCACTGGGCTCTGGAATGCAGAAAGATCCCAGGGGAGGGGAATTCATCAATGTCTAATAAAACTGTTGTACCATGCACTTAACCTTGGACCCAGCAATCCCACTTCGGCTATTTATCCCAAAAATACATCTCTTAAAAACCATGAACAATATTTTTACAAGATTCCTCATTACAGCACTAATTATAATAGCAAAATATTGGCAGCTACCTATAGACTGGTTACATCAGCCTGTGAGGATACCAATAACATAACACTGATGATGAGATGGCCTGAAAGGTGGTCATTTATTTTCAAGTTGTTCTGGAGGCTGGATCAAGACATCAGCAGGGTTGATTTCACCTCCTTGTCCTCACATGGCCTTTCCTCTGGTCTTTCCCTCTTGTAATGACACAAGTTATATTGGATTGGACATCGCTACTGAACTTCATTGAACTTGAGCACCTCAGTAAGGGCCCTACCTTCAAATACAGTTACGTTCTTAGGTGTTCAAAGGGATCTGGGGTTCAATTAGCACATAGTCCTCTGATACGGGAGAGTGACTAAATAGATTATGAGATAGACTATGGAGCACCACATAACTATTAAGGAAAGTACAAGAAAACCCTAACGTCTGCAGAGTCTTTTTTTCATATGTATTCCTGTCTCTCCTACATATTTTATGTGTACATATATGCCATAGTCATAATAAGCTTGTATGTTATGATTATGATATGATCGTCCCCCACAGGCACGTGTGTTTGAACACGTGGTCTCCAAGAGAGTTGTGAGGTCTTCAGGAGGTGAAGCTGCTCTGGAGGAAGAGTGAGCCACTGAGGTGAGTGAGCCTTGAGGCATTAGAGTCCAGCCCTACTTCCTGTTTCCTGCTGGCTTTCTGAGTGCAGATGCGATGTGACTTCCTGGCTGCTGCTGGGTCCCCCTGCTGTGCTGGGCTGTGAAACAAAGCCAGCCCTTTCCTCGGCAGTTGCTTTTCAGCTCTTCTGCTGCAGCAGCAGGAGAATGACCGAGAACTGTCGTTCATATGCATCCGAGTACTGTGGACACCAAGATGGCCCTCTGAGAGTGTTCTCTGAAACCCAGCTTCTGACACCCAAACTGGACTGTTGAACACACAGCACAGTCATCCAACCTGTAGTTCTTCCTAATGAATCAGTTAATTACTGTGCTTTCTTACCACAGCACATCAGACTGAACTGTGGATCTTCTGAAAGCATAGCTCTAATTAACCACGGTTTCGCTGATCTAATGATACCTCTAATTAGTTCTTGCTGCTGCAAAATTAAACTTACAGTTTTGAAAATGTCTCAAGTATTCTACTTGACAGTTAATATTTCTAGGATTTAGGAGTGCCTGGGTTTGCAGGTTTCCACTCTTATTTAAGCAGATTGAAGTTTATTTTTCTCTATAATTTGGTATATCAGGACTCCACTCAGCCATTCCTATGTTCCTAATATGTGAATTTGTTGACTTTCTATTCCTCTATCTGTGCTGTAGCTCTGGGTATCAAGTGCACATTTAACACACACAGACAGACACATACACACACATAAGCACACAAACATTTTTATTCTATCTCGTTTGTGGATTTATCTTGGGCCAATGCCCAAGGCATTGCCAGAAGTGGGTGTTGATTGATGTATCTGTCAGGATAGGCTAAAATGCACTGCAGTTACAGTATCCACAGAGAATAGACCGACTTTTTTCTTACACTCTATTTGTGTTGTCTATTTCTCCATATGGAGAAAGATGCAATCAGTATGGCCAATTCAATCCAATGGGCTGAGAACTAACTGTCATTAAACAGGGGTTTACTTAAGTTTTTCTTAAATTATTCATGGTCGGGGTGGAATCAGTTACGTCTAGGCTCTTGGCCTCTTATTCAAAGAATAAGGGCTCCCACAGATTTGCAAAAGTAGCAAGGAAGGTTTGTCTGGAGCAAACAATAGTACAGATTAAAGAGGGGTACAGAGTCGGGACTGATAGTGGCCATGTAAATGCAGATACTCAAGGGCCTCGATTATTGCTTAAGTCTTCATTTTATAGGGTTCAAGAGGGGTTTAATTCTTAATGGACATAGAGAAGGCAGTTCTCTATTTTGATTGACAGATTAAAGCCTATATTAATTTTCCCTATTGTCCATGCCCTTTCCCATAAGGCATCTGATTTTAACCATATGCACACTCAATTATATATAGGCATCAGACGGAGAGCTGGCTAGTTTTATATCAACTTGACACAACCTAGAATATCTGGGAATAGATAATCTTAATTGAGTAAATGCCTCCATAATTCTTATAGACAAATCTGTAGGCATTCTCTTGATTAATGATTGGTGTGGAAGGACCCTACCCACTATGGGTGGTGCCATCCCTGGCAGGTTGTCCTGAGTCCTATAAGAAAGCAGACTGAGGCAGCCATGAGGGGCAAGCCAGTAATCAGCACCTCTCTATGGCTTCTGCTTCAATTTCTGCCTTGAGTTCGTGCCCTGACTTCCATTCATTATGGACCATGATCCAGACATGTGAGTTGAAATAAACCCTTTCCTCCTCCTCAGGTTGCTTTTGGCCATGGTGTTTTATCACAACAATAGAAACCCTGACGAGGACAGATGGAATATTTTTCCTTGAAAGTTCACGGAAGGACAGTTTCACCTACTGGGCTTATCCCGCAAACCAATTCAGACCAGCTCATACTGGCTATTCTGGAGTATATTTGAATGGTAACTACCCAGATTTAATTACTGTTAGGAGGACAACAGTTTATATTGTTGTTTAGAGAGGGTATTTGTGTAGCCAGAAGTTGGTAGGAGACCCATGTTTCTAGGTGCATTGTTCAGAGAGGGTGTATGTGTGTGCAGCATGCGCAGGTTAAGCAGAAAGGCTGCCCAGTGCATTAGAAGAGACTCACAGATTACTAAAATAGTTCCTGTGGTTGCCTGTCTCATTTGCTCTTTATTTTCTTTCTATAATATTCATGTAAGTGTCCATGGTGTTTCAATGAAACAAAAAAAAAACTCTAAGACATTTATGCAATATAGAAGTTACTTCTGATGTCGATGCAGATAACCTAGTATTGTGCCCACAGCATAAAGGACTTCTGTCTTACACACAGTTCCCAGGATGCAGCTTCACTTTATGATCCAGGTTGACAACTAGGTCTCTAACCATAGCGTCTATTATCCATTCAGAGGAGGGAGAAATGGAAAGAGGAGGGCATTTTTGTCAATGGACACACTCTTACTTTCACACCTTTGACCATTATTTAACACGCAAGACAGCATCTTGTCAAACACTGAGGATTCTGTTACCAAATGAGATGAGAATGAGTGACCATGAACCAGGGGATCTGCCGCACACAAAAGAAAGTGTTAGGTTTTCACACATGCTCATGCAGTGCAGACAGAGGACCAGGCTTGCTGTAAATAAAACAAAAGCAGACACCAGCGACGAATGACAGATTACTGAGAAATTTCAAACAGACTGGAGATCTGAAAAATGGGTTGGCACGAACCAAGAAAAGATGACCAGAAGGAAAAGCCATGCAATGGCATTGGAGAGACACCTGATGTCAGAGTACAGAGAAGAAAGGCGTGTGCATCAAGGTGACCCAAGGAGGCAGGCAGCAGTTGGGGACGACTGTGCCCAGCTCTGCAGAGGGCATTAAGAATCTGAGCTTCACTCTGAAAACAGTGCTGTGTCACCTAAGTCTCAGACAATGAAGAAAGTATCAGCAAGTGTACATCACAAGTTGTAGAAAACACATTAGAAGGGCAAGAGTGGATGTAGAGGACCTGTGGCCTCCGACAAGGGCAGTGGAGCGTGATCTAAGCTGACTCTGGAGAAGACGAAATAAATGAAAGGATCTGGACCCAGTCAGAGGGCAAAGCCAACATGGCCTACGGTGTAGATTCATCTGGGAAGATGGTGAGGGGAGAAATAAGGACATAATGAAGAATTTTTCCTCTTTCAATTTTAGCTTTTAAAATATGCTTTTATTTGTTCTTTGAGAATTTCCTACAATGAGTTTCCTTCTCCCAACTCCTCCCAGATCCACATAGGGAGGGAGATTGTGTCTGATCTCTCTCTCTCTCTCTCTCTCTCTCCTTTTCTTTTCAATCATCAAATCCTATCTGTGGTGATGATTCATGGATGTGTGGCCTTCCATTGCAGTATGGTTGATGTATCAGTGCTTAGCACCTGTAAAGAAAGCTGACCATTCTCCCAGCAGCCCCACCTGACCAAGGTGCGGTGAACAAGAGCCTCCAGAACATGCAGCCCTGAACGGACCACCTGTGCCACACCCTTCTTCCCTGGTTTAATACTTACTGTAGGGATTCAGAAGGAATATTGTGTAACGGCTTCCTCTGAGATTGAAACCAGTCATCCTATGGGTAAAGAAGAAAGGTAAAGAACTCAAAGCAGATTTAGGAAGTCCCTGAAACTGACCAGACTGACTATGTCCCTCCTGGACAGGGTAAGCTGTAAGAGGCGAGCATCCTCTCAGACCAACTAAGTGGAGCTGC